ATCTGTTTCAGAACGAAATGTAACTTTCCAAGTTCTAAAAATCTGTTCATTTACAATTATGCGCCCTTTTTCGAACACTCGCCATTTTTGAATGAGGTCGATTCCCGCGCATGTCATCAGTGTTTCGCCATCCAAGTACCATCGCTTGAGTTCCTTCCTAGTACCAACAGCCGTTGCCGATCCATCAATAAAAATTCGTACCCATCCTCCGGGATCCAACTGAGCATCGCTTCCTTCCATACTCCCCCTTTTTTTTTTCTGCACCTCGCCTGTCTCCTCGTCCTTTGACAAACCGTCCTAGGACAGCATCTAGCCAATGATTGGCGGAATAGCAAGTTTCTGTCGTTTTTAAACTTTCCTTAGAACGACAAAGGTTGCATGGGATTCATTAAACCAATTTGACTACGCAAATTTTTTTTTTTTCATCGCTTGTCATTTTCGTTTTTCCAATTTGACTATGCAGATTTCCCCATTTTTCGGATTTCTTACTACGCAAACTTTTTCATTTGTCATTTCCATGATTTTTTCGCATAAATCAAAACGTCTGTTTGAGTGTAGCGTTGTGCTTTTCTGAATTATTCAGCCGAAAACCACGGTATTATGAAAGCTGGAAAATTTGAGAGGTATTTTCCTAGCTCCGTGTGAAATCATGAGCTAGTTTAATTTCCGAAATTTTCATTTTTCTAACCTGTCTTCCTCTACCTCAGGTCATCTTTACCCTCTCTACGCCCACACCTCTCTGCGAAAATTGACTCTCAAGGTCTTGTAGTTCACAAGGGAAAAATTTTCCCAATTTATTGGGAAAATTTTTTTACACTCTGTAGGAGTTATGCACCTCAACGCCACCTTGGATTGGCAACATTCAAGACAAGTTAGTGGAACTACAACAACAGTGTCGATAAACTGCATTCTCAAATGTTTCTACCAAAAGAAATGAGCTAGTAGTCCCTTCAAGAGGCAAAGAAAAAGACAATTAGGCTGAAGATTTAGTGACGCAGCATTGATCAAAAGAACTGGAAAAGTTATCTGCTTCATATTTGAAGAACCAAGCTATGAAATGCAGCCGAACAAAATACTGTACTAAGCGTTTAGTGACTGGCACAGCATCATTTTTGTTAAAAATCAAAATAAACTTGGTAATGAGTAAGCACGTGTTTGGCGCCACCTGTAAATACTTTATATTTTTAAACATCTGACATTTTAGTTTCATCTATAATCTCCAGTTTCTTCTCGCTTCAGATTAACGCAGCAAGAAAGTAGCTTGAGTACGGAGCTGGACAGCTTGCGTAGCCGGTATCATGAACTGAATGAAAAATATTATGCTCTAAGCGAACAGTCAAACCTGAATGCACTGCAGAATGAAGGAAGAATCCGTGGATCGGAGGAAAAGCTGTTAAATTTGACGCTTCAGTACGATCAAGTGATAGTTCGCGAAACATTGTAAGTTACTTGTTTGCTTCCGAAAAAAAGAGCGTGCGTTTTTGGTGGCGCCATCTTTTGATGAAACGCATCCTTTGGCTGATTTTCTGCCAGTGACCTTCAATTTTTGTAGTAAATTTTGTCTTTGGCAAGAAAAGGAAAAGATTAGCTTCATTTTTCGATTTTCCGGGAACGCAGATGGTTTTTGTGCGCATAAATCACACACTTATTGAACTTTTTTGCAATCTAAGTTCGCTGTAGTTTTCTTTTGCACAGGAATAATTTTGGGCACTCTTTGGGCGCAATAAGACGTCTTTTAGATTATTTCAGATGTTTGTATAACGTAGTATATAGTATATCCGAAAATTTATACCTCGTAACTGCTGAATCTTGCTTGTTTCTGACAAGCGTGCGCTAGTCATGCGCGTAAAAAAATTGACTATCACATAATTCTAGGATGTTTGCTGAACTGGAGCAACAACGAAAGATTGGTTCTGAACGGGAAGCTACTATTCATGAATTGCAAAAGTGAGCCAGCGCTGTCTGGATTTTTTTTCTTCAATTTCTCAGGATTCCATTTTGAAAAGAAGTGATTTTACTCAAAAAATGGTGTATATGTTTGTTTTCATCTAATATTCTGCTCATTTTATTCAAGAAAGTAAAGCAGCACTCACTGACTCCTGACGACGTGGCACGTATAGATGAAAAATACCAACCGGTGATATGTAGCCCAGGACTTAAGGAATAGCTACTCCCGACATAGCGAAGCAGTGTAGCGCCATCATTGACGTGGGATGTCTACATCGATTGTCCAGGCAATCTTGTAATTCTTTTTTTTTTTTATTAACTATTTTTCAAAATAGTTCTGCAGAAAACTGAGTGCCTCTGGCTTTCATAAATAATGAATATGGAAGGGGCTCTGACCTACGAGCTGTTTTTACAGGTGCTGGCGTAAGCGGAGATGCTGTAGATATTGTTGAGTAAACTGGTACCACTGATTGGTGCCACTGACGTCAGAATATGGCGGGAGGGATTATTTAATCTCTAGTTTCTCCCTGTAACTTTTGGGAATTACAATGTCAAGACCTACTAGTGTGTGAGTGCTGTCACTCTTATGAGCTTGCATGTGTTACAAGCAAGCTTAATTCTGTCTTATCATAATAGTTTTTGAATGTTGTTTTTTACAGCGAACTCTCAGAATTGAGAAAGTCACTCGTAATACAGCAGTATTTCCATGAAACAGTTTCCTCAGCATCGATGTTGCTTGATCAAGTGACGCAAACTGACAGAAAATTCAGGCAGCACGAGGAAATTATTGCCAGTAAAGATCAGATTATTGCTGGTTCGGGATTTTTATTCTATGTCACTTACAGGCAAATAATCGATGATTGTAAGTGAAAAAAAAATCAAAACCTCCATCTGCTTTCAGTCTCTGCCATAGTGAGTAAAAATCTCGGTGGCTTCTTTTTTCGAAGGTCATACATTTGGCTTTATTTTTGAATGCGTTGTAAGTTCTAACCGAAAATGCCCTGATCCACCTCAAACTCTTTCTGCCCTCACTAGTAAAGCTCCCGAATTTCAGCCTCTAATCTGTGGTTGACAACGCTGTTTATGAAACTGAAAAAAAATAATTGAATTTATCCCAAAATTTCAGAGTCACAGCAAAAACTGCTTGAAGCAAAAGCTTTATCGAACTCACAGCAAGAAAGTCTCCGAAAGGCCACGAAAGATAATGAACTGCTTCGTCATGAGCTGAAGACTTTGAAACGGCAGCTGAAATCGCTTAAAATGGACAAGCTTTTGCGACAAAATCAACAACGCACAAAAATACTGGAAGTATGAAGAAAAATTTGAAATGTTATAAATTAACCTTGTTGTGGACTTATTCTTAGTCGGTAAGGTACCTCAACGTGGTCTAGAAGTGATGACAGCATTCGAAACGAGATGCTTGCTGCTCAGCTTATGCCAGTGGATAGCTCGAAGCGGCTAAAACTTCAAAATTGCTTCTGTCGTGTAAGCCGCTGAGTTGATAATTGCTCCAGAAGACGAAAACAACATCAGGGTCATCAGCAACGGAAAAAGTTGTCAGAGCTGCATAGCTGGAGAAACGTACTGTCAAACACAACTAAACCGGGTATTCTGCCTGTCGTAGAATCTGAATTTTTTTGATTCTTTTTTGGTACAATAACTTTTTTCTCTAAAAAAAAGAAAAAAAAATTGAAAATGTACTTCTGTTGCAGATCCTGAAGAAGAAAGATGAAAGCGAAAAAATTGAAGAACAGGTGTTTCCAGTTCCAAGCCGAGTTGAAACAGCGTGAACAACTGTTTGCTGATATTCGATAAGATTTGTTGGGGAAAATAACTGGTTATTGCAGAAAATATAAAAAATCTGCTCATTGACGATAAGAAAAAAGCTGTTAGCTGTGTTGCAATTTTTTTTTTCCTTTCAGTTGCCATTATCCGCAAAAATGGAAAGAGTGATTAAATTCCTTTAAAATAGTAACCGGAAATTTTCTGGGATAATTCTTCAGTTTTTTTTTTTTTCTGTCTCTTTCCTAATATGACTGTAGCAAAAAGAACTGGTAAAATACTTCACCCGCTATCCAGGAGTTCGAGACGAATTGGTGGTACCAAACAAAGCTATTGATATCGCGGAAAGGCTAGAGCATTGTCAAAAACTTCTGAGTTGATAATTCCTTCAGGAGACGAAACGAACATCAGAATCGCTAGCAGGCTGATTGCGTATGATGCGGTATTCAATAGAAGCAAACTGAAAAGTGCTGTCAGTTGCTTAATCCGAGAATGCTGCTGCTGTGAAATGAAGCTAATCAAAACTACTTGTCACATACAGACGGAGGTCTTAGTGAATTTTCATTTGCACATGTGCTGACGGAAACGCATAAAATTCACAAAATTCACAAAAAGCGGAGCAAAATTTGCGACAAATTTGCATGGAGCCCCGAAAAGGTCATTTTATGCTCGCCAAAGAAGACTATAAAAGCGCTGTAAGAGTTGCAAGATAATCATTCATTATGTGGATGTCCATGCGACCTGTCGGGTCTGCGAATGGTGACGGTGGCAAGGAGCGGAAATCGACCGAGCTGATCAGACCAAGAAATAGTCGGGCCCCGAGCATGTTCGACAGTGCGTGAGCCAGTGTCACACCATCATTCCTGATGCAGGATGATGGTTTGTTGGTGCTGCTCTGGCAGTCGTCGTCCAGAGCAGCTTTTTCTCAGGAGAAGAGGACTGTTGGAAAGCAGATGAAAGGGCAAGGTAGGCCTGCGCGAGGAACTGGAAGGTGGATGAGGAAATGGTGAGAAGGAAGAGATTGTTTGGGGGCGGCAACTGATCATACCGACTTATTTGTGCTAATCAAACGCATCAGTTCCGGAGGAACATTCGTGACCGTACTGTTTGAGAAGGTGGTGCAAACAAATTTGGCTGCGCGTTCTTTTGGAAAGTCTAAAATGGAAGGCCTGAATTCACTGACGAGCCAGAACGAGAACTCACTATTTGCTGGGTGTCAACCGAGAAATGTTTGTGTGCGAAGAACCTAGCAGCGAAGAGAAGAGAAAAGCCAGTGATCCGGAATGCTGCTGCACTCTTTATTACATTATTACTCACGGGCAGAACTCATTCTCAAATGCATGAAACAACGGAGAAAGCTGCGCGAGGGCGCGAACAAAAACAAGAAAGCATAGGAGGTGGGAAAGCCGTGAAATTCAGGAATAGTCTTTGCATCGGAAATTCTGGATTTTTCGCAAACATAGTTTTGAGCTGATTTATTACTGGCTACTGCGCACATACGCGCTTCACCAGAATTGCTTCTCGAGCACTTGAAATTGCGAAGAAAAGAATTTCGAACTCATGAATGCAGGGAGCACAGCCCCAATATTCTCTCAGTGTCCACCATTTCTTCCTCGTTTCACCACCCCTTATTTCGAAGCAGCTGCCGTCGCCATCTCATTGATATCATATCATTCATGATCACAGATTCGTTGCTTGTTGCTTTCTTTTTTGTTGCTTCCTATTGTTTTCACAGTTTGCCAGTTTGTCAGATTGTCATTACGTTATAATAAATTATCTTAACCAATCACGTTTACGACATGAAGTGTAATCTGAGGCAACATTACGTGTGCAGAAGGGGACACGACGTTTCTGTACGTAACCTCACGCTGACTGATTTATGTGGCGTACACATTGCAAACACGCATAAGCGCAAACATGTACAAAAACAGCGAAAATATGTTTCTGGATTTGAAAAAAAAAGATCCGAAGGTAATTATCGGGTGCTATCATCAGTTATCTCATCAGGTGGTTCTTATTTGTAGAGCTGCTCGGATCAGATGTTGTTACAAATGTCGTTCCTTTCTATTTCAGATTACTCTTAAATACTACAGTGTATCTATTCTGCACGGCAACATTTGAAACATGCAGTAGTGATGATGTACGTAATGTAAGTCGATGCATCACGAACTCTCGAGATAACTGATGTGGCTTCACGTTGACAATATCGATGATCGAGGGTATCGCACTGAATGACTGGAGGCTTTGGGTTAATCTTAGATCTCGAATCAGGTGTGGTTCATAGCCTAGTTCTTTTCTGCAACAGACCGATGCTTCTCCGTTCCATGCTTAAGTTGACTGAATCGTTCTGACTGCATCGCGAGCTGCATTACTGCTTATAAGCTTCATTTCAAAAAACCCGATGAATCACGTAAAAATTGATGTGTACAAATGTGTCCTATTGCCATGTTTACAAATGAGCTTGCCGAGTCAGAAGTCAAAACTCTCTCCGTATTCGCCCTCCTGGAGAAATGCAAATGCCCGAAAGTATTCCGAGGGTAGAAAATTGCCAAAAACAATCACCCGCTCGTAAGGCTATCGATGGCTCATCTGTTTGGAAGCAATTTCTACAGAAGGGAAACAATTGGTTCCCATGCCGTTCCATCACCACTGAGGAATAAGCAAGTTATCAGCAGATTCTCGCTTTTTTCATAGATGTAGTCTCGCTACTCGCTCCCTTAGTTCTGATTTTAAATTAAAATCAGAGTCAAGCGAGCGAGGAGCGAGACTATATCTATGAAAAGAGCGAGTGTCCGCTACAATGATGAATTCTCGGAAATAATAAATTTTAACATGGCATCCAGCTCAGATTTCATGGAAATCTTTGAATCCACAATTTTCTTGTCCTTTGAATTCAGAAGTATGCCACGCTACTGTCTGTATGCATGCTTCCGCACGTACATGCAACTCCAATGTCATGTACAAAACGACGCATGAGTTTACGTAGGAGAACGTGATGTCCCCTTGCATATGTGCTTGTGTGCCTTACGTTACTTTACGTCATATATGTGACTGGTTGAGATAAACGACCGCACTGTACACAACAATCATTTATTACGATATACAGACAATCTGAAAAATTTGCAAGCTGTGACTGCAATAGGAAGCAAAAAAAAGAAGGCAACAAGCAATTCGAATCTGTGATAATGAATGATACGATATCAATGAGATGGCGACGATAGCTGCTTCGAAACAAGCGGTGGCAAAACGAGGAAGAAATGTTGACAGTGAGAGAATATTCGGACTGTGCTTCCAGCATTCGTGAGTTTGAACCTCTTTTCTTCGCAATTTCGAATGCTCGGAGAGCGTGTGTGCGCGGTAGATAGTAGTAACTGTGCTCCAGATGGGTGGATTTGCCAAACTATGTTTGCGAAACATCCAAAATTTCCGATGCAAAGACTATTCCTGAATTTCACGGCTTTCCCACCTCCTGTGATCCTTCTTGTTTTTGTTCGCGCCCTTGCACAGCCTTCTCCGTTGTTTCACGCATTTGAGAATGAGTAATAATGTAATAAAGAGTGCAGCAGCATTCCGGATCACTGGATTTACTCTTCTCTTCACTGCTGAGTTATTTTTCGCGCCCAAACATTTCTCGGTGGTCGCCCAACGCCCTGTAGCAGCAAACATTGAGTTCTCGTTCTGGCTCCTCAGTGAATCCAGGCCTTCCATTTCAGGTTTTCCAGAAAATGCAGAGCCAAATTTGTTCGCACCAGCCTCTCACAACAACACGATCACGGATGCGACTCAAAACTAATGAATTTGATTAACACGAGCATGTGAGCAAGAACAGTTGTCGCCCGGATGTACGACTGCAACCGTTCTCACATTTTTGTTTTTCCCTTTAGTCATCCGCTTTCACTTCTTCGAACAAGGCCTTCCTTGCCCTTTCATCTGCATCCCAGCGGTCCCTTTCTTCCAGCAGAAATCTGCACTGCGTGAAAACCATAAAACCAGCACCAGCATATCGCTTTTCATGAGGAGCGAAGATCTGATTCCGGTCCACACAACTCCGAATAAACCACCTGTGAACCAATCCTTGACCCAACAAGCTTCGCCCACTCCCAGTCCCAACAAAGCACGAACCACCATTCGACAGGTTGAGCCGAAAGCCACACAACGAATAATGATCTAATAAATTTTCCGCTGCTTTTATAGCCTTCCTTGACAGTCATAAGATTGCCTTTTAGGGGATTCATGTAAATTTTCAGCAAAATTTAGTCGCTTGTGATTTCCATTTGTTTCGACTTGCAATTATGCAAATTAAAACTCATCAAGATCCTCTGTATACTACTTGGGATAGAAGTACAAGCAAAAACTTAATCTTTCGATTAACTTTCACTATACAACCTGACTCTCTAGCTATATCACACAGAATGACTGAATTACATGTATCATTGTATTCCGTATTCCATAACGTCTTTAACATAGGTTTCCAGCAGTGTAGTGTACTCAGTAAATACGCAGCAACTTAGTGATAACACATGCAAAGAACAATAGTCGACATGTCGTTTGGTTCCTAAACCGCGAGATTTCCCATTAAAAATTTCACACACTGACGCGTCAAACGCAAACACACATGAAAGCTAAATCTGAAAACTTGGACGGTGAACATCGTTTCGAAATTTCAACCTCCTAGTTCTCTGGTTTCCGAGTAACATCCGCGCCAAAACATTCATGTGGTCTTGTGTGAGATATCGTCGTACTTGGGAGCAAAGTTCGAATTTGTTAAGCCCTTGCATAAGCAGGCAAGACCCTCCTCTAGCTTACAGCCTTCCAGCTCTTCTCACTCCCGAAATAATAATTTTTCTCACCAAAAATTTTTTGGAGCCGTAGATAGGACTCAAACTTGCGTGAAAATTAAATTCGAATTTGCGGAGCCGCGCTTGCGCATAGGAACGGGAGGGACGCGAT